GTGTGTGTGTGTGTGTGTGTGTGTGTGTGTGTGTGTGTGTGTGTGTGCAGTCTAAAGTAAATGCCATAGTAATGAATTGTGAGCAGGAAACCATAAACCAGTATTTTTGTTGGCAAGTTTACTCTCCCAAAACAATGTTAAATTGGTGAATATCGTGCAGACTATGGTTTAAATACAATCTGTAGTAAGTGTAAGTAAGTAGTAGTATGTGAAAGGTAATTCCGTCTTATTTTGTTTGAACATCTGAAGTGTTAGAATATTTCCAAGCCGCACAACTATGAGGCATTTTGCTTTCTCCTCTCTGCCACCTCCAATATGGCGGCGACATGGTTATGCCGTTGAGCTTCCAATAGGGCGTCTATGGATGTCTATGATCTGCGGAATTAAAGTGGGCGTGACACAAGAGTGGGCGTGTCTAAAGCATAAACACTGTGGGCTACGAGACCTACATGACGGTATCCTTAGACCCTGCTTGACCTCTATACAGCCTGACCCTGACCCCAATACTAAGGTTAACCAGGAGAAATGTGACCCAAGTAGGGGTCTCCAGAAAAAGTGGTGCCGTACAGTAACGCCCCTTTTGTTCTTGTCCAATCAGGTGGTGCCGTACAGTAACGCCCCTTTTGTTCTTGTCCAATCAGGTGTGGCCCTTTAAAAAAATCTGTCAAATCAGGTGTGTCACTTTAGAATCGCCTTTCGTTGGGACGCGCCCACTCGTCCGCAGAGACCCCTACTTGACTGGTTGCATCACAAGAGCTACTCTCACAACAACCAGATCCACGATTTGTAATAACAACACTATTATGTCCTCCATTGTTGTGTTACGTAACTTTTCTGGGTTTTCTTCTATGTTTAATGGTGGCTGGCAAAAAGCTTAATGAAGCATAACCGCCACCAGCTAGTAAGGCATTTTGAGTCAATTTCGGACTCTAGGGCTGCCCATGTTTACGATGAACCCACCCACTATAAATGTTACTTAAGTGAAATGGAAAACCACCCGAACTGTGCTGTAGAGGCTCTAGTGGAAAAGGAGCATAACATTCTTGGAAAATGTCACAACACGATTTATAAAATTCTTCAAATTGCACAAGACTGGCCTTCTGAGAATTTAGATATTCGATGTCCAGGCCTAAATTTCAGCCTGAAACTGTACTCCAGGCAAAAAAAGTCCCCAGATTTTTCCCCAACACAAATCTTTCTCTTGCAGGTTTTGTGGTAGCGTTGCTCCACCAACCTTTAACACAAACAGCAGCACAGTGTGGGTCACCTTCCACTCCGATGGCAGCATCACAAACAACGGCTTCGCTGCACAGTACAGAGCTATCCTGCCTGGTCACAGTCAGTAGTCTGCCTCCACACGTTTCTCCCCGCTCCTGCTCTTTTGCATCGGCATGCAAGTTTTTGTTGTTTCCTCAGAGAGCTGTGCCAGAGAGGAGTTCATGTGTGACAACGGTCGCTGTCTGCTGCCCGTGTCTGTGTGTGACGGTCATCCAAACTGTAACGACCAAAGAGATGAAGCAAACTGTACTCACAAACGCAGCGGTGAGAAACGGAGCTAAACTCAAGAGTCTAAGGTTAGGACATGAGCGTAAACTCCTGAACAATACTGTTTCACAGAATGTGGTGGCCAGATGTTTGGGCCATATGGTTCCATGGCGAGTCCAAACCACCCCAGGCCTTATCTTCACCAGCAGGTAGACCCTGACTTTTTCTCAAACACACAGCCAGACAAACAATAACAGGATTTTTGTGTTCTTTTTAGTTGTGTGTATGGTATATATCTGTTGATGAGGGTCATATCATCACACTGAGCTTCAGAAACTTTAGCCTGGAAACTCAGGACGTGTGCGAGTTCGACTATGTGGAGGTGCATGACGGCAGAACCACCGGAGCTGGAAGGGTCTTGGGGAGGTGAGACGACCCACAGTCTCATAATCTGTGGGAAATAAAATCATCTGTGAAATTACTGCAACACTAGCCCACCTCTTTGAGAGTATGAAAGGTGAAAAGTCTTTTTTTGCCAATATATTCAATGTTTCATTGCAGTTTTTGTGGCTCTTGCGTTTGTGACAGGTTTTGTGGGACCACCATCCCACCAGACCTGACCTCCTCTGGCCCCCACATGACGGTGGTGTTTGTTTCCGATGAGGGAGTGGCCGACAGCGGGTTCAACGCAACGTACCAGGCTGTATCTGTCCTTAACAGTGAGTTTTTACTATTGAAACAGGATAATTTACACCTAACCAGGATGTCACTTTAGAGCGCATTACTGCCCCCTGCCAGGGACGAAAATGTGGTCATGATTTTTTCCACATGTTCATATATTTGTTGTTAACAAAATATTTTATAAAACACTTGACAAATTTTAACAAAACTAACAGAAAGCAATAATTGGATGTACATCTGCAACCAAACATTTGAAGTCAAACCAGTTTAGGATGGGTACCTCAGAAAATCAACTTTCACAAACACAAAAATGGCTTGGTCAGTTTTGTAGCTATCGAGTTAAAATTTAGTGTGGTAGAAGTTGACAGTTGTTTCCACACATATTGTGCTCCAAGAACTGACCGACTGTGTGAGATCTTTGCCATTTGTGTTTGAATCAACCCTATCTGTCTAATAGTAACATACTGTATGTGATGAACCACTGGACAGACTTTAATAAAACTCTCAGAGGTAATTCATGGATGATTTATGACTGAAGACCTTTGGAGGTTGTCGTGGCAAGAATGGTCAGAAACACGGCGAAAATGTGTTAGAAAGGAAATAGTCTTGCCGGGTATGATTATAAAGTCATTTATTGATGGGCAGACATGAAACAGAGAACAATCACGAAGTCTGTAAGATGTGGGCCCGCCTGTCATCGGCGGACATGCAATGTTATTCTGTCATCTAACATCGTGTGAGAATGAACAACCAATCATAACCTGCCCCATCCTGATACACGGAAATAGG